AGCAAGCCAGAGAAAAGCACCGTTGAGATAATACCTTTCATCCTAATCTCATCTACTGAAAAGGGGCCCTCTTGATCACCTGAAGAGATTTTTAGGCAGAATTGGCATAATTATTATCGTGAGGATTGAGATGCCAAAAGATATTATCTACCTCTTAGTTGCCAAAAGACGGAATGTCTGAAGGCAACATGGTCATAGAATTCGTTTTAGGAGAGCAACACAGGCTACAATGGCAAGGTCAGCCACCCGAAGACTTAAATGAATAGCCATTGCTGTTAAGAACAACCGAGATCCAATGAAAATTTCCGCGTAGCTTCTGGTCTTTGACATCAAAAAAGAAGGTTGTAATAATGCAAGGGACATCTTAGAATTTTATCCTAGCTAGTAGAACAATAAAGACGTACTCTTGATACAAACACTTCAATCAGTGCCTTCTTGTCTCCTTGGCTTCACCAGCCGGGCTTTATGCCTTTAAAGCTTTCTAAGGAGGTTCACTGATCACCTATGCAAATATGAACTCTTGCTAGAATTCCCTAAATGTAAATAACACTAGGTTAGTTACCTGAAGACACTAGTCATAGTGAATGGTTCCCCCCCCCCCCACCCCCACACACACACAAAGGGTGGGGGGAGAGAGAGAGAGAGAGAGAGAGAGAGAGAGAGAGAGAGAGAGAGAACATAACCGAGTGAGTGCTTCTCGGAGAGGAGCACGAGATCCAGAGTGGTAGTGCGCGTTCCCCTTGAGGGGGGCTAGGGGGTGAGGGCGGGTGTAAAGCAATATTAACTAACTCCCTGTCCGGCTTAACAGCTCGAATCAGCAGTGAGAAGCTAGTGACCTACAGGAAAGAGTGCTTACAAAAAGTTGTTGTTGATGATGTTGTTGTTGCTAGCTTGTTGTTCCTGATGCTTATCCGAAAATAATGATTGCGACACAGCCCGACATTTCCCGACAGGAAATGAGATACGGGCTGACCTTGCCATTGTAGCTTGTGTTGCTCTCCTAAAACGAATTCTATAACCATGTTGCCTTCAGACATTCCGTCTTTTGGAAACTAAGAGGTAGGACCCTATTTGAGCCTGTTATAACAGGGGTTCTAAGGCTCAAATAGACCCTTATAATAGGTGCATCTATAGCATTCTTGTCCCAGCTCCGGAACACTAACCCATACAGGCGTTACCATACCAAACCCTCCCTCCGGTCGCTTCGTTCCCTTGCTTTTCCATTGCTTTGATCCTCTGTCTCTGACACCTTCCTAATTAAGTGGAGAATTCCTTCATAATTGAGTGTCCCAATGAGCCCATAGGCAAGGTCATTACTATTTTAACGCATGACATGAGGTTGTCTACCTCACTAGTATTTGAACTAGAATGCCAGGAGGAGGAGTGTAATTGCCTTATCGCGCTATCTGACTTGTATGTGAAAAGCATTTCGTACTCGTAACTGATCCCTTTGTAGCGAAAGGTGTGCTCCAATGAAAAGTACACAACACTAGTAGTGCCCCTTTTCACGACCAAGTGATAATGGAAACAATGTATCTCTCTGGGGATGCGAAGAATATTTGAAAGCACTTTCGAACCATCACACGGATTCCAACCCAACTGCCCATGATATGGTAAGAACGGAATGGAAGGGAAAAAAAGTCTTCTATGCGCAGAAGTGAAAGCTCTATCAATAGAACTAGCTTATTTTTATTTAGAGAGGAACGATTCCCTCGTCTGAGAATCGTCATTCACGAACTATTCCTCCCCACTAAAAAAAGCGATTGAGAATCTCGAGAACCTAAACAAAAATGCAGAAGTGAGCATACCCCAAGGCTCTCCTCTCTCCCTCTTTTTTAGCCAACACCATCAACCCCATTTTTCACCGGTCAAAGCCAAAAATCTGATTAATAAAAGGAAAGGAGATCAGAAAAATAGGCGGATGACTTATAGTATAGGTCGGATGTTTCCGTGAGCAGTAAGCAGCAGATCCCCTCTTATTTTGGGAAAGTTGGTGGCCGCGTGTTAATTCTTTCAAGGTAAGGGGCAGCCTGATTCGACATTTTTGTTTACTCTGATCCGATCGAGGTGGTTTTCACCAGCGCGTAGGTGGTCTAAGTTCCTATGACCAAGTCTTTCAGGCCCCTGTGAACATCTTTTCTTAATGTATTAAAGAGGGCCTCTCTAACCGGTGAAGGTGGGTGTCCACTAACGGCCATTCCTGGCCCGACTCCGATAACGCAATTCCGGGAGGAGTCGGTAGTTGGGCGATGGATCCTTTCGGACCTGGAGAATGTGTGACGTTGAGTCGGGGTTTGGTGAACCAATAGGCCGCTCCTCTAGTTGAAGTATCGGGCCCCTTTTTTGTTGCCTAGGTTACACCTTCGGAATACCCCAAAAGGGAATTTTTATCTACTCCCCCCAATCTGCACTTTACGCCACGCCGACTCCCCTTTCTTCATAAGGCGTGGAATTAGACCAAGGGGAATCTCCATAGGAACAAGTCCCTTAGATTTTTCAC